TTATAACGGCTCCACCGTGCCATCCTCCATGTCCGACAGATGGTCAGCAGCGCCACGCTTCTTTCTTTTCCTTCCATTGCTCTGCCACACGGGGCTGTGCAGTGGGTGACTGACATCAGCAGGCCAGGCCAGGCAGCGAGATCTCACCGCCGAGAACTTGAATTCCAGAAGCAACACCAGCCTCGGGCACCATGAGCAGACACAGAAAGAGTGAGGCTCGCAGCGACTCCGAGGGCAGAGAGAGTGTTACTGATACCACTGTTTGCTATGTTTCCCATGATTTATGTGATGCGGCCGGACTTTCTCTTCCCGATTTACGACCACCTGTCCCGGGGAGAACATAAATTACTGCATCTATGGCAGTTTAAACCTCAGTGAGAGATAGGAGAAGACACCTCGGCCGGCTACACCGTCTACCCGGGCATTAGAAGCAATTAGGGTTGGCCTGTCGGGCTGCGTAGAGCCTGCAGAAGATCAGGGGAGGTGTGCTGGTGCCCTGTTAACTGCCCCCCTGCCCTCACTTGGGGTCAATTATCCTCCTTCTATAAACACAGGATCCCAAATGGAGGAGGTTCTAAAAGCTGAGAGGACCAGCCCAAACACAAGGAGAAGCCCATTTTTACAAGCACACAAAGTTGCTGAGACCAGAGCAAAAGGATGTCAGACACCGAGCAACATGGAGGGAGGGGAGACAGCAAGGATGACAGTACATCAGTGCTCACTGCGGCACTATTCACGACAGCCAGAGGGTGGGGACGACCCCGGTGTCCATCAGCAGATGAATGGATACACAAAATGTGATAGACACTGGGTCCGTGGGTGGTGCAAATAGTTAACGCATTCGGCTGCTAACTGAGAGGTTGGAGGTTCAAGTCTACCCAGAGGTGCCTCAGAAGAAAGGTCAGGTGATCTACTTCTGAAAAATCAGCCACTGAAAACCTACGGAGCGCAGTTCTACTCTGCCCCACACGGGGTCGCCATGAGTCAGAGTTGACTCAGTGGCAACTGGTTTGGTTCCCGTGGACACAGACAATGGAAGACGATTCAGCCACAAACGGAAATGAAGTTCTGATCATGTGATGACGTGAGGAAACCTTGAAAACAAAAGAACAAATGCCGCGTGACTCCACTTACATGAAACATCTAGGAGAGGCAAACGCATAGAGGCCAAAGTCTAGTAGGAGCTTCCAGGGACTGGGAGGAGGAGGGAGTGGGGCGTTACTGCTGAAGGGACACTGAGCTTCTGTTTGGGGTGATGAAAAACTTTTGGAAATAGCTACCGTGATAACAGTTGCACAACACGGTGAGTGTCATTAATGTCACTGGAGTGTACATTTAAAAACGACTGACGTGGCAATTTTTTTGTTATACTTTACTACAATAAAATTAAAACACGCACATACTGAGAAAAAAAAAAGACTGACAGTTCGTTAAACTACTTGGTTGGTTTCTACTCAGTCTCCCCTTCCCGGGCTCTGTCCACTAACCCACGCTGCCTGTCTTGTCCTTGCAGCTCATGTGTCCCTCCCACCCCCATTGCCTTCAAGTCGATTCCGACTCATAGCGACCCTATAGGACAGAGTAGAACTGCCCCATAGGGTTTCCAAGGAGCGGCTGGTGGATTTGAACTGCTGACCTTTTGGTTAGCAGCCGAGCTTTTACCCACTGCACCACCAGGGCTCCTCTGCTCATATGTGGCCACAGGAAAATAGGAAGACGGATTCCTGGTTGGTTCTGAGGGTGAGTGAGGGAGCGCAGCGTCTGAAGGAAAAGCTGGAGTCTCGCTTCTTCTCAAACTCCGCTCCTTTCACAAACGTGTCCTGCCACACTTACTGTTTCCCCCAACGTTTCATTATGAAAATTTTCACATGTAAAAGCAAGTTTAAAAAATTTTACAGCAAACACCCATTTACTAACCACTTGGATTCTACACTTAACACTCTGCCGCATTTCTTTTATTACATATTTACCTATCTGGCTATCGTCCATCCATCCATTGTATTTTCTTTTTTTTTCCACTTTTTGGTAACTGGCAGACATCAGGACACTTCACTCCTAAACCATTCAGTTTGCAAATCACTACCAAGAATTCAAAATTTATTTATTTTATTTTATTTTATTTTGGTGAAATTTACCTACAGTGAAATGTACAAATCTTAAATGTTCCATCATGTTAACTTATGGAAAAGTTAACTGTGTTTCGAGCATTGAGAAATATGCAATCCTCTTCACCCTGATGGGAGTCACCTTAGGCTGGTCTGCTGCTTCCTCTTGGAATACTGAAATGTTTGAATATTTAATCTGATTTGTACCTTAAGAATTTCTCCAGTCTGACAACCCCCCTTTCTACTCATTGTTGTCGTTAGCGGCCGTCAAGTCAGCCCCAACCCATGAGACTCACTACGCGCACAACGGAACGTGTGGATCACACCATTGGGATCCACAGGGTTTTCAATGGCTGACTTTCAGAAGTAGATCACTAGGCCTTTCTTCCCAGTTCATCTTCTTCAGAGCCGGAAGCTCTGCTGAGACCTGTTCAGCATTACAGCAGCATGCAAACCATGACAGGTGATGGCTGTGCACGAGGTGTACTGGCTGGGAATTGAACCTGGTTCTCCTGCATGGAGGGCGAGAATTCTACCACTGAACCACCAAATGCCTCTCCTCCTTAACTCTGTTCAGTCCAGCTTGTTCGACTTCAGCCCGGACCTCCTTCTCTCTGCCGCGTGGGCTGGGCCCTTGAGTGCCAGCTGCCTGCCCTGCTGCAGCCAGGCCCTCATGTGAGGACAGCTGCCTCCATAGACCACAGACATCAGGCCCAGAGCCTCAGACTTACAGGTCATACTCCGGCTGGGACGACAGGGCTGTACCCAGAGCTCCAGCTTGCCCAGGGAGGGGGCCAGACAGTAGCTCCCGGACAGCAAAATTAGCAGGGAGAGGCTGGTGCTGACCAGAGGAGATCAAATTGTTGACCAAGGAAAAGGCTAAGAGCTTGGTGAGAGGCAGAAGGAAGGGGAGGCAGTCAGAGTCACATCCCAGGGGAATGAGTCCTGTCTCACGAACACGCAAGCACACAGCTAAACCAGTCGCCATCTCGCTGACCTCAACTCCCGACCACCATTTTGTGTCAGAGCAGAACTGCGCTCCATCAGGTTTTCAAGGCTGATTTTTCAGGAGATCACCAGGCCTTTCTTCTGAGGCACCTCTGGGTAGACCCGTTCATCCTTTCAGTTAGCAGCCGAACAAGTTAACCGTGCATACCACCCAGGGACAACCTCTCTTAATTCGCTCTTTCATGCTGGTTTGGATGTAAGAGCCCACCCCTCAACAGCACTCCTTCCCCGAGTCCTCCAGGGCCTCCCCTAATCAGGTATCTCCCACTCCCAGCCTGCCCCCTCCCCATTACAAGTGCCACCTTAGACACACAAGTCTGGCCCAAAGCCAAGGGCCTCAGAGGTTACAGAGATGAGAGCTGACACCCGCCCGAGACTCTGCTTTCAGCGTGGAAAGGAGAAGTTAAGATGATTATTATTAACTCATTTTCAGAGTGTCAGCAGTATCCTGGGCCCAGGAGCTGGCAGCTGAAGCAATGAAATGTGTAGATCCTGATTTTTTTTTTTTTTTAGCAGAAGTAATGCATATTGATTATAGGCAGTTTCGAGGCTACGTACAAGAATATACATTTCCACTCATAATTCCACTACAGGAGCACCTCCATTAACGTTTTGGGTTATAGCTTCAGCCTCTTACCTACTTGCGTGCATTTATATATTTTAAAAAATAAAATCAAACAAAACCAAAACGTAAACATATACTATTTTGTCATCAGCTTTTTCACTTCCCTGTCAGTTTGTCATGCTGTGGCAGCTCGTGTGTTGCTGTGATGCTGGAAGCTATGCCGCCCATATTTCAAATACCAGCAGGGTCACCCACGGTGGACAGGTATCAACGGAGCTTCCAGACTAACATAGACTAAAAGAAAGGCCTGCCAATCTACTTCCAGAAATTAACCAACGAAAACCCTATGAATCTCACAGACTACTGTCCGATACAGAGCTGGAAGATGAGTCCCCTGGTTGGAAAGCCCTTAAAATACACAATGATCACAACAATGGACTCGAGCATACCAACGATCGCGAAGATGGCACGGGACTGGGAACGTTTAGTTCTCTTGCACGTGGGGTCACTGTGAACTGGAGCCTACTCAGCTTTTAAAAATTAATATGCTATCTTGACCATCTTCTTAGGTAATTTAAAAGTACTCTCTGTGATTCTATCACTTAAAACTTTTTGTTGTAAAAATTAAAAAATAAATATAAAGGTAGAAAGAATAGTGCAATGAACCCCCCCATAAGTATCACCCAGATTCATTTAATGATTACCAAGATTTTGACACATTTTCTTTACCCTCTTTTTTTTTTTTTTTGCTAAAATAATTTAAAAGTACATCCCAGACATGTCACTACACCTACGTACATCAATGCACATCTCTGAACTAAATGGGCATTTCTCATATATATCCATAATGCCATGGCCTGGTGGCCCAGTTAGTAAGAGCTCAGTTGCTAACCAAAAGGTGGGCAGTTTGAATCCACCAGCTGCTCCTTGGGGACCCTATGGGGCAGTTCTACTCTGTCCTATAGGGTCGCTATGGGTTGGAATCGACTAGATGGCAACAGGTTTTGTATTATCACACCCAATAAAATTTCCTGATAGCATCTATACTTGGTCCATAATAAAATGTGCCCAAATGTCTTTGTTTTTTAAATCAGTTTGTTTGAATCTCAAATTTTAAACTTAAACAAATAAATAAAAAATTATGCAAGTAGACATTCTGGAGACCAAAGCGCCCAGGAATGCTTCCCAAATCACTCATCCTTAGGACCCCCTTACCTTCAAGACCACACGTGGGTGGTCTCTCCACTGCTTCCTGATTAGAATACAACGCAGCTGTCCTCCGCACAGAGACGCAAGGACGAGACCCCGCCTCCCGCTCTTACCTCCTCAGGGTTTCCAACGGCTCCTTCCGGTTCATGACGCCGGTGTCCGGGTCCACAGTGGTCAAAATGCACCTGGACAAACACACAGAGCATCACACAAAGGTCGCAAGGACTGACCTTGGCCTGTTCCTTGCCCCCAAAGGGCCTGAGGAGTCTCACCTGGAACAAGCCATCACCCTTTTAAGTTCCACGTCACCAATGAGAAGTTCGTTCCAAGAATCCTAGGGGACAAAGCACAAATTCGCTTGAGCACCGCAGGGCCCTTGCAGGCACATTCATATCCCGTTACCCCGCTGCCTCTGAGTCGGTTCCGACTCGTAGTGACCCTATAGGACACAGTAGAACTGCCCTACAGGGTTTCTTCTTTAGAGGAACAAAATCTTCAGACTGGGCTGGTCACGGGGGGGTTTATGGAGTAGATGCTTCAGAGCTGAGTCTTCGAGTGTAGATTTTGAGAGGCACAAAGAAGGGGAAGGGGATCCCAGGCAGAAGGAGCAGCAATTAGAAGGGCCCTGAGGTGACAAAGAGCACCTGATTCTAGTCCTGGTCCTTCCTACCTTTCAGATAAAGTACTGGGGCATGAGGGTTGAAGGCAAACATCTGTGAATTAAAATAAACCTGTCCCCTCCCTTGTTGATCACAAGCCGAAGACAGAGTTCCAAACTCAGAATTTTAATTGTGATAGTCTGCGTTATTTTTGAAATATGTATTGCAGGAATTTTTTTTTTTTTTTTTAAATCATGGAATAGGTCTCTTCACTGCATACTTTTGCAAGACAGTCCAGAAAGCTGGGCAAAGCGAGTTTGAGCAGCCACAACCTGTACATTGTGCATTTCTCCACTGGGGGGCACTGGAGGGCACTGTGGTCACAAAAAAACCCATATCAAAGGTTTTGGTATTTGTTTGGCTTTGTTTTTTTTAAAAAAGAACAGTTGCCAGTTCAAGTGGATTTTGGCTCATGGCGACCCCATGCGTGTCAGATAGACTGTGCACAACAGGGCTTTCTATGGCTTATTTTTTTGGAAGTAGATCTCCAGGCCTTTCTTTCCAGGCACCTCTAGGTGGACTCCAACCTTTTGGTTCACAGCCAAGCCCTTAACCGTATCCACCGCATGGAGCCTCCAAAGGTACAAAAGGAGAGAAACAAGAGTTTGTTGGGGTTAAGGCATCAATTTATCATTAACTGGACAAATATTTCCAAAGCCCCTTCTATGTGAAATGGAAACTGTTGGAGATTGAGTCACAGTGAATGAGGTAAAAGTTCCATCATAAGTCATCTAGGATTGCAACTAACTCCACAAAACAGTATGTGTATAAATTTTTGAATGAGAAACTAACTTCAGCTGTAAACTTTCACCTAAAGCACAATAAAATTAACAAAAAAAAGAAAGAAAAGAAAGAGAGTTATCTATTTGGCAGTAGAGAGAAAGAGGAAAACCATTATCTGTTGAACACCCACTGCGGGCCCAGAACTGTTTTAAACACTGCAGAAGAGCCCACGAGCATCTTCCTGACAGGACACAGGACCTTGAGGCAATAAGGAATGTAAACTATGACAAGTGTCAGCACGGGAGAGGCCCAGACAGAGCACAGTGCAGCTTTAGAGAAGGCAAGAAGCTCTTCTGGGTCTGGTGATCAGAGGAGGCTTCACAGAGGAGGTAACTTTTAAAGACGACCAGGGTTTCTAACGTGAGGCGAGGAGCAAGGTTGTAGGAGAACGTAGGACAATACCAGCAGACAGGAGAATATACTATGTTCCAGGTCCAGCTTGCAAACGTCCCTGGGTGGTGCAAACAGCTGGCACTCATCTACTAACCCAGGGGGTGGTGGGGGAACCCACCCAAGCGGCACAGTGGAAGAAAAGGCCTGGTGATCTGCTTCCACAGAGATTACAGCCAATGAAACCTACCAGCACAGTCCTGCTCTGACACACATGGGGTCGCCATGAGTCGGAATCGACGGCTCAACAAGAGGCCCAGTTTGCAGCTCGGAGTTTTTACTGGAAATAGAGGCTGGATAAACAAACCGTGTCGAGATTATGGAGGGACTTGAATGACAGATTGGGAAGTTGGGACTTTTGAGAAATGGGGAGCTATGACCGTTTATGCAAGGCAGTGACATTGACAATTCACCACAAACTCTTAGAGTGGAAGCAGTCACACCGCTGCCTCAGCAGGGAATGGAAAGAGATGAAGGGGTGGTCCAGCAGATACGAGAGGGACCGCACGCCAGGCGGGGGAACCAGCGTGGTCCTGCAGGTAC